GAAAATATTACAGTGGAGAGGTACAAGGTAGAGCCCAGTGCCAGTCTAGATCAGTGTCCACTGAAGTGGTGGTCGGAGCACACTGCTGTCTATGGTAAGATGGCCCAAATTGCCCGTAAATACTTGGGGACTCCTGCCACAACTGTCCCATGCAAGAGACTTTTTTCTTTAGCAGGCCATATTGTGCAGAAGAGGAGAACTTGTTTGTCACCAGAAAATGTGAACAAACTGGTCTGCCTGAGTGACTGGTGGAAGAAGGAGAAATAGAGCTTTGACTGACACAAAGCTACTGACTGTAAACAGTTCATTACAACCTGTTATATAGGCCTACTGTTCAACTAAAAATAAACATTTAATAAACACAAGTACATCTCATTGTCATTGATTTATTTTCATCACCAATTATCATATAACAGCTTTCTCAAGCAGTTTGTGATGCATTTTGGAAACTGGAGATGAGCCCCTGGTCTAATGCACCACCTGGCTTGAGAAACCCGTTCTCAAAGACTTACTTTTAGTCATTATTTGGGTAGCACACATATTCTGAATGCCTTCGGCAGAATTCAAATGAGCCATTTTAATCTAGATTAATCTAGATTAATTCCAAGAATACAGTGAGATTAATCTAGATTAAAAAAATTAATCTATGCCCACCACTAATATAAATATAAAAATAAAGTGAAGGAACAGCAAACCGGGCGGTCTACGAAATGAGACGGTTCAGTAAAGTTGGAACGATATTGGGAGATTCAGATTTCACGGATCAATAACTCATGAACAAAACGTTATTCAGACACAAATGACATCTTCTAAGTACTGTGGTAAGGTTGACAACAAACTGCAACCACATTTTGATTTAAAAAAAGCCAATACGCGCCGTCCTCCGAGCTGGGCACATTACATTGGTCTCTATTAGTGATGTGTCGGTTGCGAATGAGCCGATTCTTTTGAAAGGCTCTTTGATACGAACGGGGGGAACCGAGTCGTGCTGGTTGAGAGCCGTTCTTTTTATCGTTCAATCGTTGGTCCGCACTCACTGCCTGCCAAAATCCACTCGCCTTTTAAAAAGCTTGATTTTGTTCCCCAAACGTATTCTGTGAAGACCCGCCCCTACTCTGATTGGTAGGCTATAGGTTTCAGCACGAGGAGTGAGATGGGGTGGGTCTTAACGGAATACGCGAGGGAGAGAAGTCATAACAAGTGGTACAGGACAGATAGATGACGTGTTTTTCGGATGGAAAATGAGCCAAACGTGAAAACGCAGCAGCATTTGGATGCACTTCAACCAAAACCCAGGCAGCGATACAGCGCACCATTTGTAAAGGCAAGATATCATTTAAAGCAGGGTCAACAAATAATCTCTATCACCACTTAAAAACACAGTAGGCTATCTAATATTAAGAGTTGCGTGAATTTCATTCAAGGCAAGGCAACTTTATTTACTTAACACATAGGTACAGAGGGTGAATTCAAAGTAGTACATGAAATGAATGACATGGATATGGCGCCACCTTGTGTCACGTTTACAATGTAGATTATTGACATTAGGTCTGGCAATATGCAGTCAATCATTATCCTGGTGATTATTTCGCAGATAAACCTAGTAACCCCGCTCCCTTTAAAAAAAACGTCTCTTTTGAACGGCTCTTTGAAAGGAACTGAGCCATAAGATCCGGCTCCCTTCAAAGAGCCTTAATTCCCATCACTATTGATTATGCATCAAGAAGGGAGCAGACCATCTGCAAAACATGAAAACATTTGATTGCATTAGAATAATAACTTGTGATGAGTTCTTAAAGTACTTACAAAGTCATCCCCTGAGTCTGCCCCTACTGAGGCGATGGATTCCTTGCTGATGGTGCGCGGTATCCGAACACCACTCCGAGGTGCTGTGGCCGCCTCCTCTGCGATCTTCTTCTTCAACTTGGCAAACATGTCTGTCCTTTGAGTGTCTATTTTTTTGGTGCAATTTGCAGTTTCTAGAGAGTAAGGGACTTCCTGTGACACATGGAAGTTTATGGCTCCTTGTTCTGAAGGCTGAAACAGAGCTGCGCCCTTATGCAGTACCACTCCAAACAAGTTGTTTCTGGTCATTCCATTCTGTTACAGCTAGGAAAAGAAAAGAGACAGTTGTCAAAATTGCAAGATTGACAAAATGGGTTTCTTGTAAGAAGAGTCACATGTCACATTGTTGTAATGAGTCCAGCAACAAGATCAAGAGCTTTTCTGCATCCATTATTATCATTTTATAATAGACGGGCTGTTCGGGCGAAAAATAAAGACAGACAAAAGCTGGAACATTTTGGTTGTCAAGTCTTTCTACTTTAAGGGCCATTTATTACAAAGAATAATAATAAGGTGATAATTAAGTAGTTAATTGAAGGATGTGTTTTACTGCACTGGAAAACAATCCATGTTTGTCAAATTGGTATGTGAAAAAACTGTCCAATAATTTGATCATCATTTTCAACCTTCTGAATGCTTCCATTTTGCACCAGAGACTCTAAAGGTTTGGGTTAAAATGCTTCTTTATCGGGTTGAAGAAATGTTATGATGGAGTAAGTATGCAATTCATCAAAAATGATAGCATTAGGAAATACAACTACATTTAGAGTTTGTAAATAAATGTGTTTCCGTGTCAACGCTACAGTGTATTCTTACTGACTCCAACCAAAGTGGTGTCACAAATTGCAGCAAAGTAAAAGCTCTGTCTGTGTGTTTCGTCAGTGTAATCCCATTAGGAAATGTACAATGACACTGTCAGACTATGTTTTGACAGACAGCTAGCCAGCTAGCTCTTCTAGCCATAACAATAAGAGTTAACACCACCACCGGGCGATGCTAGCTGTCGTTAGCTTGCTCGTCGCCTTTCTCTTACCATATTAACTTCGACAACGGATCAGTCCGTAGCGTTTTCAAATGTTCAATGAATGTACGTTCGCTTCTTTGCTGTATACACGTAAAGAAAAGCTATCCTTGTGACAGTCAATATGTACTAGCTGTCTCGACTGACAAGCTAGCTGCCGCTAGTTGTTGAGCTACACGTATTCATCCCAACCATGATCCCAACACAGTTGACTGATGACGATGCGGCGGGGCCTCTGTTCATTGGCTACGGCCCCGTCTCAGGTCGGTTAAATTAAATCCTTGCTTCCCTCACTTGCGTCGTTTCCCTGTGTTTAGTCCCTCCCTCCAAGGAAGCATGGAGGAACGCAAGGAAACCACGAGAAGCAGGGAAATGAGTTTTAAGAGCAATGGGACGTCCTTTCCTCCGGAGCGTCACGTGAAGCGACGTCCGCTTGTGATGACGCCGCACAGTTGTTCGTCGGACAGCAGCTCTGTCCCCGTTATTTCACAAACACCCTGCCACCCATTTACTGACACAAATATTTGTATCATCTGTTGTAGACCCCAATAAATAAAATCAAATAAGAACTCATTCTCAAAAAAGATAAACGCCATTCTTAAAATGTATAAACGAACAATAGTTTGATTAATATTGATTAGAGTGCACAATAGAAATAAAATAATTGAGAGAAGAAAAATATATATATTATCTATCAAAACCCAGTTAGATTAACATTAATTGGATTGCACACTTTGTTTGTTTGTGTGGATAAGTATCACATTAACATTTTAATAGCACTTAATGACTGACTGAATGGAAATGACAGTAAATGAAAATATAAAACGAAAAAAGCGATCATGAAAATGTTTCCAATAAATGAATAAAATGATTTTTGACCACTTTGTTGTTCAGATATATCACATATTTGTAACTAAATGATACATGAATTGAAACAACACATAGTATAAACTGAGTAGTGACTCTCGTGAGTTTCATTTATTTTCTTCACTCCGCTGGGGTACTGCTCTCATGTCAAGAAAAAGAAGCATGAGATCAGTGCATGCACTGCATCGTCCAATCAGTGAGCGATACACAGTAAGGGGGCGGGGCGAGTATCTGAGGATTTCATCGGAGGATGGACTGGTGGTTCCTCGATTATCGCTCCTCCATTATCGCTCCTCGCTCCTCAATCCTCGGTCCTCCGGCAGAAATAAGAGCCATGGGACGGTACTCAAGATGGCGCAGACAAATCAACTTCCGGTGAGACCGAGGACCGAGGTGCGAGGAAATGAAAATAGTCGACCTGAGACAGGGTTATGGGTAGAAAGGATCCGTCTAGTGTAACTATGACGTCACGTTCTCGTTGTAGCTCTCGTTGTAATCGGAGCGGCTCGGAAACACATCTACAGCAGTAACATGATGCAACATACACATTAATGCAGCAGCAATATTAATAGAGAAACCATCAGAGCATAATAGTAAAAACACTGCAAGGGACATTTTGTGCACCCAGGAGGCTATCTGGGACTTTTAACCTGCGACCAAGCGTTGACTTGCCCTGTGAATAGCAAAAAAAGCCATAGTGTTGGTGTCTACAGT